AGACTTCAACTCAAGATGTAGCTATGGGCAGAACGTAAGAACATAAGAATGGCCGTACTGGGTCAGACCAAAGGCCCATCCAGCCCAGTACCCTGTCTACTGACAGTGGCCAATGCCAGGTGCCCCAGAGGGAGTGAACCTAACAGGTAATGATCAAGTGATCTCTCTCCTGCCGTCCATCACCACCCTCTGACAAACAGAGGCTAGGGACACCATTCCTTACCCATCCTGGCTAATAGCCATTAATGGACTTAACCTCCATGAATTTATCCAGTTCTCTTTTAAACCCTGTTATAGTCCTAGCCTTCACAAACTCATCAGGCAAGGAGTTCCACAAGTTGACTGTGCACTGTGTGAAGAAGAACTTCCTTTTATTTGTTTTAAACCTGCTGCCCATTAATTTCATTTGGTGGCCCTTAGTTCTTGTATTATGGGAACAAGTAAATATTTTTTCCTTATTCACTTTCTCCTCATCACTCATGATTTTATATACCTCTATCATATCCCCCTTAGTCTCCTCTTTTCCAGGCTGAAAAGTCCTAGCCTCTTTAATCTTGCCTCATATGGGACCCGTTCCAAACCCCTAATCATTTTAGTTGCCCTTCTCTGAACCTTTTCTAATGCCAGCATATCTTTTCTGAGGCCTTGGCTACACTTGCGAGTTACAGCGCTGTAAAGCCTCCCCCAGCGCGATAACTCACTCCCCGTCCACACTGGCAGGGCACTTGCAGCGCTGTATCTCCCTGGGTACACCGCTGCAGGTACTCCACCTCCCCGAGAAGCATAAGAGATACAGCGGAGTGGCTACGACTCTCCCCTGTGAGTGTGTATCAGGAATCAACCTGCAGGGCTGTACTGATCACCTTGTCAAGTGGCCAATCCTCTCCATTGTTGTGACCAGCTGCAGGAATGCGGAAGTGCCGGTTTCAAAGCTCGTACCACAGAGAAAAAGCAAACAGTTTGCTGTTTGCTTTGAGAGAGTGAATGAATGAGCAGGGGGCCGGGAGTTCGGAACTTGCAAAACAGAGTGCTGACACGCTCCAAAAAGCACTCTCTCCCCCCACACACTCCCTGTCGCACTCCAACCCCCCCCACTCCTCCGTTTTGAAAAGCACGTTGCAGCCACATGAATGCTGGGATAGCTGCCCATAATGCACCTCTCCCAACACAGCTGCAAATGTTGCAAGTGTGGCCACGCCACTGTGCTGTCAGCTGTCAGTGTGGACTGACTGCAGCGCTTTCCCTACTCAGCTGTACGAAGACAGGTTTACCTCACAGCGCTGTACAGCTGCAAGTGTAGCCAAGGCCTGAGATGAGGAGACCACATCTGTATGCAGTATTCAAGATGTGGGCATATCATGGATTTATATAAGGGCAATAAGACATTCTCCGTCTTATTCTCTATCCCCTTTTTAATTATTCCTAACATCCTGTTTGCTTTTTTGACCACCGCTGCACATTGCGTGGACGTCTTCAGAGAACTATCCACGATGACTCCAAGATCTTTTTCCTGATTAGCTGTAGCTAAATTAGCCCCCATCATATTGTATGTAAAGTTGGGGTTATTTTTCCCAAAGTGCATTACTTTACATTTATCCACATTAAATTTCATTTGCCATTTTGTTGCCCAATCACTTAGTTTTGTGAGATCTTTTTGAAGTTCTTCACAGTCTGCTTTGGTCTTAACTATCTTGAGCAGTTTAGTATCATTTGCAAACTTTGCCACCTCACTTTTTACCCCTTTCTCTAGATCATTTATGAATAAGTTGAATAGGATTGGTCCTAGGACTGACCCTTGGGGAACACCACTAGTTACCCCTCTCCATTCTGAAAATTTACCATTTATTCCTACCCTTTGTTCCCTGTCTTTTAACCAGTTCTCAATCTATGAAAGGACCTTCCCTCTTATCCCATGACAACTTAATTTACGTAAGAGCCTTTGGTGAGGGACCTTGTCAAAGGCTTTCTGGAAATCTAAGTACACTATATCCACTGGATCCCCCTTGTCCACATGTTTGTTGACCCCTTCAAAGAACTCTAATAGATTAGTAAGACATGATTTCCCTTTACAGAAACCATGTTGACTTTTGCCCAACAATTTGTTTTTCTATGTGTCTGACAATTTTATTCTTTATGGTTGTTTCAGCTAATTTGCGGGGTACTGACGTTAGACTTACCGGTCTGTAATTGCTGGGATCACCTCTAGAACCCTTTTTAAATATTGGCATTACATTAGCTATCTTCCAGTCATTGGGTACAGAAGCCGATTTAAAGGACAGGTTACAAACCATAGTTAGTAGTTCTGCAATTTCACATTTGAGTTCTTTCAGAACTCTTGGGTGAATGCCATCTAGTCCCGGTGACTTGTTACTGTTAAGTTTATCAATTAATTCCAAAACCTCCTCTAGTGACACCTCAGTCTGTGACAATTCCTCAGATTTGTCACCTACAAAAGCCGGCTCAGGTTTGGGAATCTCCCTAACATCCTCAGCCGTGAAGATTGAAGCAAAGAATTCATTTAGTTTCTTCGCAATGACTTTATCGTCTTAAAGTGTTCCTTTTGTATCTCGATTGTCCAGGGGCCCCACTGGTTGTTTAGCAGGCTTCCTGCTTCTGATTTACTTAAAAAACATTTTATTACCTTTTGAGTTTTTGGCTAGCTGTTCTTCAAACTCCTTTTTGGCTTTTCTTATTACATTTTTACACTTAATTTGTCAGTGTTTATACTTCTTTCTATTTACCTCAAAACAAGAAGCTGGAATACACATGGAATGGGTTGGATAATAATATAGCAATCATTATAATGCCATTAAATACATCAGCGGAGCAGCCACATATAGAATGCTCTGCACAGTACTGGTCACCCCATCTTGAAAAGGACATTACAGAACTAGAGGAGGGTTAGCAAAAGGTGACTAAAATGATTAGAGAAATGATTGAAGAGAGCTTGAAAAGATTACCGTTGTTTACCTTGGAAAGAAGATGAATACATAGGGACAACATGAAAGTATATTAGATTACATTAAAAATGGTTAAAAGTACATTATTAAGGTTGCAAAATCAGGTACTCAGAAGCTAGGAAATGCAAACAATGAGGTTGCCTGTGCAACTTGAATTTAGTTCCCTTGTGTGTCTTTAATTACCTGATCACATTCTGGGTGCAGATCCTCAGCTGGTGTAAATTGTCATGGATTCATTGACTTCATTGGCTGAGATTCTGCTCCACCGTTTTCCCCACAACTCCCCTGCCACATTCAGCGCACAGGAAGGACGGTGCTCACTGAATGGGCAGTTATTCATTAGTAGTTTTTATCTTTATCATTCATTGTGTGGTCCCAGACCTTATTTGCTGTACGGTATTCAAACTGAGAACTCAATAAGTAACCAGGGGGAGCAATGAGAGCACTCCCTGCTCTCTTCTGGCACAACAGTGGCCCCAAATAGGAGGAAAATACCTGTTAAGGCCCTGGAGTCCTGGGCTGAAGCATGGTCAGTCACTCTGTAGGAATAGAATATTTGCAGTTTGGTTGTCAAGTTGGGACCTGTTTGGGGTTGGAGCATGCTCAGTGCAGATGTACTGCAGTGTAGTGGGTATGGAATCTTGTGAATTTAGCTGCCAAACTCTAACAAACCTCTACTGAATGTGCGAACTGAGATTTTACAGAAGTTTATAACTTGGCCAGGTTTGAGCAGGGACACCATGGTAATACATTTCAAGTTGCTGCTCAAAGCATGGAGGCTCTAGAGCTAAATGAAACTGTTTTTAATTTTTTTTTAACATTGGCCAAACAATGTGTTTTTCTGTAATCATCAGAAATGGCTAAACTGTTTCATCTGTAATTTACAAAAAATATTCAGTCTGAGGCAAATACCCATTGTGGAAAAGTTTAAGCCCAAACAGTTTAAGAACATAAGAATGGCCATACTGGGTCAGACCAAAAGTCTATCTAGCCCAGTATCCTGTCTTCCGACATTGGCCAATGCCAGGTGATTCAGAGGGAATGAACAGAACAAGTAATCATCAAGTGATCCATCCCCTGTTGCCCATTCCCACCTTCTTGCAAAGTTATAAGCCACTGAAAACAGGGTTTTATAATGGAAGTTGTTAGGCAACTTTAACTATATGTGTTGCCACCAATTCTGCCTATATTACAGAAGATAGATGAGGAATTTCTGTTTGGCCCTTCTTGTCACACAAGAAAAAGGGGACATTCAATTAAATTAAAAGGTGGTGAATTCAAGACCAATAAAAGGAAATATTTTTTCAAACACATAATTAAACTGTGGAACTTGAAGTCATTGAGACTAAAAACGTAGCAAGATTCAAAGGGGTTTGGATATTTATCTGGATGACAAGAATACCCAGAGTTATAATAATAATTAATGCTTACAAATTTTGGAAGAGGTATTAAACCTCAAGTTTTGGGGATTAAGCTAGTCTCTAACTATAAGGGATTAGGAGGACACCCAATGTGGTTGGCAGATTAGGCAGAAGTAGGATAATGCAAGGGTTCTTGCACTTTCCTCTGAAGCAGCTGGTTCTGGGCACTGGTTGAAGACAGGATACTAGGCAACTTGGGCCATCTGTCTGATCCAATATGGTGATTCTTATGTTGGTTTTTAAAAAGTCTCGGGGTTGGAATGTTAAAATAAATTCTAGAAGATGGCTAGGGGAGGGAATACTGTCATAGATGTATGATAAATTGCACAGGTGTGTGATAAACTTATCACTGGATAGTCTCTCTCTCATGATGATGTGCACTTGGATTTATTTCTGCCCTCATACTAATAAATAGTATTTTCCCTGTTATTTACAGATGTAGGTAATATTTCTAAATATTGTATGAAAAACTGCTTTTATCTTTGACTATCAATAGTGTGTCCCATAAACAATCTAATTTTTGCTACACTAGATATTTTTAGGGGGCGGAAGGCATGTTAGCCCCTGTAAATTTGCTATGGGATTATAGTTGGATCTCTTTTCTGTTTCTACATTTCAGGTGCCTTATCAGGTGCTAGAGAAAGCTGGGAATATGATTCTGGTGCAAGAGACCTTCAGAGTCCTGACCTGCAGAGCCATTCTACCCTACAGAAGCTCTTGGAGTATGGAGGCAGCAGTATGGGTCAACAAGCTGCTCTGCAGAAACTGCTAACGCAGGCCTCCAATCTTAGCAACTCAGTTGGAGGAAGCTATTTAGAGCTTGCCAACACTGTAAGTACCCTTTATCTTCACTGTAAAGCTCTTCAGGGTTTTTTTCCCCCCAACTCGAATATATTAAACTTTTGAGTCATGGTCCACGAGGGAACTATCAAGCTGCTGTAATTTTCCTTTACCACAATGTCATAAAATTTTCAGCTTTGCAAATAATGAGAAGTATTTAGAAATTACTTGTATAATTGAGGACTTGCTTTCAGCAGAAAGGATTTGGTGGACTCCATAAGGCATTTAGCTGAAGTTTTTAACTTATACAGATTTAATTATAAAACATAGCCAGCTTGTGAAAACATTTACTTATGGAAAATAAATTGGTAGCACAGTGGCAGACTGTGCAAGTAAACATCTTTCTGCTCATTAAGTCAGTTAGTGTCATGCAGGAAAACACTTACCCCTTTTATTTCAGGATTTTCCACTTTATTTGCTAAGATTTCTGTTTGGAACTCTGTGTAGCACTGTGTTTTACTGTTCTCATAGGCAAGCCTCCTAGTAAAAGTATTTTCAGATAAACATACCACATTATTCTCTGCAGTAAAAATCTGATGTGTTTAAGTGAGTGGTTTTTTTTTCAATTATGCATTGCATTCAGGTTTTTAAGGGTACATCTCCACTGCAATTAGACACCAGCCACTGGCCTGTGCCAGCTGATCTTGGGACCCTCGCAGGGTCCTAGAGCCCGGGCTCCAGCCTGAGCCAAATGTCTACACCAACGCCCCTTAGCCCGAGCCCTGCAAACTCAAGGCAGCTGTCACGGGCTAGCTACAAGTTTTTAATTGCAGTGTAGACATACTCTAGGTAAGTGCGTTAGGTTAGATCTGGTGTGCTATAAATTTATAGCCATTTTGTAGCTCATTTTTGGTGGTCAAAGGTTGATGCTGCTAAACTGAAAAGAGGGAGCAAGGACTCAGGCTTTTAGTTGGAGAACAAAAAGGCCCAAACTAAAGGCATTGGAGAAAAGTTGAGGAACCCATTTTAGAATGGCTGCTTGTGACAGTAACTAGCTTTGTACTGGTGAAACAGATCCTGTTAGTTAATGCTTACTGGGTGTTGAGGGGTGGGCACTCAGAAGAAAATGGAAATTTATTCAACTGATATGGATAAAATCATCACAACACTGTGATGGGTTCTCTGGGGTTCAACCTGGAATTTGGGTACCACTGTGACCTCTGTCTTACCAACCTGAGCTCCCTCTCACACTGTGATAATGTGACAAGCTGCAAACCCCTTCAGGTCCTGCACTCACACAAATATTCACAGGCAGGGACACACCCAGCTCTGTTACATGAATGCTTTTGCCAGCCACTCATGAACCAACAATAGAGAGACTCCAGCCAACTCTCCCCAGCCTAGGACCCCAGAGCTGTACCATCTTGCCCTAGTCAGAAGCCTGACCAGCATAAATTATTTACCCAGTCCAGCCCTCCCTCATTGTGGAGAGGACAATGCAGCAGATTTCCCTTTACACTTCAAACAAAAATCCTTTCCAGTCTGGGACCACCTCCCCAGTCCAAGTCTTTGTTCCTGAGGTGTTTCCAGGTGTTGAGTTGTGGGGGGAGTGAGGCTAAGTGATGATGTCACTTCCCCCTTTTATATAGGGTTACCATATTCAAACATTTAAAAAAGAGGACACTCCACTGGGCCCCGCCCCCGGCCCTGCCCCAACTCCGCCCCTTCCCCGCCCCGGCCCCGCCCCAACCCCTTCTCCGCCCCCATTCCAACCCCTTCCCCAAAGTCCCTGCCCCAACTCTGCCCCCTCCTCTGAGCACCCTGCATTCCCCCTCCTCCCTCCCGCTCTGATCTTGGTTGCGGGTTGCTAAGTGCTTCCCTGCTCCCCACTCGCCCCGCAGCCCCTATGCCCTTGCCTGCCCTGCTCCGCCTCACCCTGCAGCCTCTGCGCCCCCCCGCCCCCGCCGCCCCCGCCCCCCCCCCCCCCCCGCAGCCTCTGCTCCCCCCGCCTGCCCTGCCCCCTCTGCACACACACCCCCGCCTGCCCCCCTCCCCTGCTCACCCGGCAGACGGAGAACTGTGAGCTCCACATGGATTCCAACACTGCGGGCTGCTCTGTGGGGGAGGAGGGGGAGGGAGCAGGGGAAGGGGAGGGACTCTGGCTGCTAGAGGCCCTAGTGGCTGCGAGCGGCTTTCCATCAGGCCAGGCGTCCAATCAGCCGCGCCGCACTCCTCAGGAGGGGAAATCCCGGACATTTCTACTTAATTAGAAATCCCCCCCGGACGGCCATTTAAGGCTGAAAAACCAGGACATGTCCGGGAAAACCCGGACGGATGGTAACCCTATTTTATAGCTTCTGGCATGTGGAGGGAACTTCATTGTCCCAAACAAAGCCCCCAGCACAGTTAGCGGAAAAGTACAGGCACAGGATTGAATTCAGTGCCACATGAGCTGGTCACATGCCCTTACATGCTTCTATGAGTCATAGCAGGGGCTATTCCCCATATTCTGGCTAGAACGTCTACAGGACAGTCCATCAGGTGGGGATAAGCTTCTTCCATGGCCCATTGTGTTCGTTACTGGGCCATCAATTCAATAGTTCATTCACAATGTACTGGCTAGACTGGATATAAACTACCTTGTGGGAGTTACCACAGGAGCAAACACATTTGAAATACGGGTACATAGCCAATATTCACAGTTTCAGATACAAAAATGATACATGCATACAGATAGGATAATCATATGCAGCAAACCATAACTTTTCCATTGACACCTCACTTGTCATATTTTGTACAAGATGCATCATAATTAAGGCTGCGAGTCTGTCACGGAGGTCACGGAGTCTGTGACTTTCCGGGATCTCTGTGATTTCTGCAGCTGGCCGGTGCAACTGACCTCAGAGCCCCCAAGCAGCTCGGGAGGTGTTCCCGGGCCTCCCTTCCACCCTGAGCACCAGCGGGTGACCCAGAGTCCCACCTCCAGAGCAGCAGCTGCACCCCTGGCACCCCCCAGAGCACCCATGAGTTAGTCAGGGGTTTATAGTACAAGTCATGGACAGGTCACAGGGCCATGAATTTTTGTTTATTGCCCATGACCTGTCCATGACTTTTACTAAAAATACACATGACTAAATCTTAGCCTTAATCATAATTATATCACCATGGTAAATGTGGGGGTGCCAGGGTGTTGCCTTGGGGTACAGAGTGTCACAAACACCCACACAATAATTTTATGCACTGTTTTAAAGTTTGGTTTGTTTCTCCCTAACACCCATATAGAGTCAGTTTTGCATCATTCGTCTTTTATTAACATAGTTCAACTATGCCTTAAAGAAAAATGAGTAAACAAATAATATATCCCAGTATTCTTACTATATAGGGAAAATATCTGCCTATCTATTTTCCAGTGGAACTTGTGACGCGTTATGCCCCATAGGAAGTCACCTGTTGTATCCTGAGATACCACTGAAGTCTACCTGTTCTGCCAGCATGGGCCCCCTTTACCTGGCCTTGCTGGGTTAGGCTCACAAGCCTCTTCCAGCCAAGCACACAGGCAGGGCCACACCCAACTGCAGATCAACTCTGGGAAGACTCAGCTTAAGGGACTTGCTCCAACACTCTGGTGCTCACTCCTTTTAAGGGGTACAAACCCAAAGTTTTAATGAAATTCTCCTCCTCCCTCAATGTGGAGGAAGGTATGCACAGCTTTCTCTCCCCGTCCCGTCCCCCCGTTAGAAATTACAGAAACTGGGTTATACAGACGTTCCCTGACTTACACAAGGGTTCCGGAACGCCTTGCGTAACTCGAATATTGCGTAAGTCGGAAACGTATCTCCGACCATTACGCAAAAAAACAAACAAACAAAAAAAACCCAAAAAATAAAACCCTCCTATTTCTAGCTTACGGAACTTTTTCCATAAGCTCGGATTTGCGTTCGTCGGGTTTACATAACTCAGGGAGCGTCTGTATTATAAACAAAACAAATTTTATTAACTGTCTCCAGGGTCCAGAGGAAGACTAAGCTCTTTCACAGTCCATTGTCTCTGCTAATGGCCCATTAGCCCTGTCTGGCTTTTCCATTGTTGTATCTGAAGCGCTGGTTGGGGTGACATCCAAAGTAACACATTTGAAATTCAGACACATAGCTAATATTCCTAACTTCAGATACAGAAATGATACAGGCATACAAATTGGATAATTACGTTCAGTAAATCATAACCTTTCCAATGATATCTTACATGAGCCATCTTGCATAAAGTACATCTCAGTTATGTCATATTCCTATCATAAGCATATTTTCATAAGGAATATGGAATGTAATATCACAGAGCTTATTTCCATTAAGCTAATTTTTTAGCATACTATAATTTTTGTTTATTTTTGTGAGTAGTGTCAACTCACTAACATTGTGCATTCTACATATTGCCCTCTTCCCCCATCTGGTCATGAGCAGCTGCGGTTCCTGGAATCAGCCTTCCCACCAGCAAAATAAAACTCTGTAGTTATTAAAAGAAAAGCTACAAACAAAAACTAAATATTTGTTACTTGCCTCTCAAAACAAATCATCAGAAACTATGCTTAAAGTCTCCACACATTCTGATGGCTATTGCCATTATCCACTGCAAATTTGAGAGTTTGAAAGAAGATCATTAACAATATACACCTGCCCAGTCGATTATATGAATTCCATAGCTGTTGAATGACAGTGGTTAAATGTTAAGAGTCTGGAAAGAGCAGAGCTTCCAATCTCCAGTTCTGGTTTTGGTCCTGCCATGAGGGCAGGGGTCTGAACTCGATGACCTCTCGAGGTCCCTTCCAGTCCTAGAATCTATGAATTACTTTGAAAAATGTACAGTATATGCTACTAGATACTTAAACATAGCGTTTGAGGAGCCAGCTGATTTCCCCCCCGCACCCTCTACCCCAGTCGTGTTGTTATAAGAGTGGCTGGTATAATTCTTTCTTTAGTTTGGGAGCGTTGCGTTGTTGTGCCAGTATTGGACGTGATAGATTTGCTCTTAGAACCTGTGGGCTCTGATGGACAATG